GAGAAGCTAAGACCTTGGTTCACATGAGGCAGGGTGGGAGAGGGGCCAGCCTTGGGGACTGGAGCTATATGTCTGTGATGAGGTGGGCAATCCCTTTGGAAGGACTACTGGGTCTCAGCAGGTGGGAACTGGGCCAGGTGTGTGCCTTGGTACTTCTACACCCCAAGACCCTTTTATACTTGGGACTTCTGTCTGACTTGGGAATCTTACAAGTCTGAAGGCACAAGTGAGAGCTTTGTGGCCCTCTGCATATGACACTATGTTCTAATATGTTTGACCAGGACCTGCTTCTTGAGGTTAGGAGACCATCTGAGTATGGTGAGTGTTTATATTCCATTTCTGTATCCTTGAGGGATTTGGTATATATGGTTGTTTGAATGTTTTCAGAACTTTCTGGTGTGCAGTGCCCGTACCTTGACCCCAGGTATGAGTAGCTCATGACTTCTTCCTATGCTAGCCCATCCCCTGGTTTGGGTATATAAGCCTATTACTTTCTGTAATAGACGGTGGCAGCAGCTTCTTCTTAACTTCTTGTGGTGGTCTGTAAGTGTTTCAAGCCCAACACCCTCCGCCAAGCTTGGTACTCTGGCTTCACAGGCACGGCAGCACAGTTAGGAGGTGTGGCCTTGTTGGAGTAGGTGTGTCACTGATAGTGGCTTTGAGGTTTCAGATGCTCAAGCCAGGCCCAGTGTCACTTTCTCTTCCTGCTGCCTGCCGATCCAGATGTAGAACTCTCAGCTACCTCTCCAGCACTGTGTCTGCCTGTTTGCAGCCATGCTCCCCACCATGATGATAATGGACTAAACCTCTGAACTGTAAGCCAGCCCAATTAAGTGTTTTTCTTTATAAGAGTTGCTATGGTCATGGTGTCTCTTCAAAGCAATAAAACCCTAACTAAGACAGCACAAGTCTTAATTCATGGAGCATACTTATAAAGCATGATTTAACCCATAAATGAATTGTGTATTTGCTGTATTTTTTTTAAGCTTGTGGACAAGGTTGTGGCCTGAAGCATTTTGGAAATCTTGCTTCCATCTACAAACAGATATCATGGGTAAAATTTAACATGGAAAAGAACAAAGGAAAGTCAGAAGTGAGAAGATGTCTCTAGTTCAATTGAGGAACAAGAGATGGTGCTAATAAAATGCCCAGAAGGGTGGGGTACAAAAGACAGCTTGCTGTGTCATCAAGAGGCTGCAGAAGTCAGAGTTCAAATGACATAATATGATAAAAATTCCATTCCCAGGCCTGGGGATTTAATTCCCAGGTAGGAAGCTTAATCTCTCCCAAGAATAAAATGGAAACTCAAAACTAATTTGAAGTGGTTATTATTCCATCTTGGTTCTCCAGGCTATGGTGAAGGCAGGTAAGACCCTGTTTCTGGGTCCCTGGGATCCTCAAGGGCTGCAGCTTTGCCATAGACTTATATCAAAAAATTGCACAGCATTCCAGGAACACATTATCACAACAGAGACAGCAGGCATAAAAACACTTGTGGAAACCCAGACATTATAGCAATCCAAAGAGTAAGTGTGATTGTCTCAGAGTCTGCAGAAGCATGGCTCCTGGACCTCCATAGACACCCAAATTTGTATTCGTTGGCATTGTATTTGTACAACCTTCACACATTGCATATATTTAAAACATCTCTCCAGAGCTTTCAACTTTAGTGCCTTTAGTGCCATGTGCATGATTGTACAGTGATTCCACAGAACTATGTTTGGCATAGACCAGCCTTTTATGGCTATTATTGACCTTCCATTGATTGAATATGGTATATAGAGGTCTTGTTTAACAGAAGACTGTCTAAAAATTAGAGAGACAATTGGATGGAACCTACAACACAGGACAGAGCAGGATGGAAAAAGGAAGCTGGATTTGAAAAAGAACTAAATGGAGGTAGCACGGATAGGGAATCGGGTTGTCACTGAAGAGAAGTGGCAGAGTTTTTATTACACTTGGGAACAATCTGAGGTCTGGTTCAGCTAGGTTCCTGATCTGTGATTTTAATAGATCCACCAGACCTTGAGTAGACAAGGTTCCAACTCTAGGGCATCTGTAATTAGCATCAGAGTAGAAGGCTCTTTGAAAACTAGAGCAGGAAGTTAGGTTATTCCAAATGGCTTCATGCTTCCCCCCAAGACTTCATCAGAACATTTGGAACCTGTTAGCAAGGTGTCACCTAGGAGGGCAGGGAGGGCTTATGCTTGGAGTGTGGCCCCTGCCTCTCATTTGTCCCTGCTGGCTGCAACTTAACCCTCACAGACATCTGAATGCCTGACAATGCAGAAGCAGAGGGGATGTGTAGCTTACAGTCTTTCCGTTGTGATTTGAGTCAGACATGTTTCCCAAATCATATGTTGGGGTCTGGGTTGCTTTGGGGAAATGATAGCTCTGACATAATCACTATACTCAGCCTCTTGATGGATTAATAATATGGGGCATTATTGAGAGGCAGTGAAAGGGATATGGTGGGGCCTGACTTGAGGAACCGGCACTGGAGCACGCCCCTGTGAGCTATAGCTGACCCTGGTTCCTTTATACTCCTTTCTCTTTGCTTCTTGGTGATCATGAAGTGAGACACTTTTGCCATATGCTGTTGTCACCCAGAATCAGTCGACTCAAGGACCAATACAGATACATCTGAAACAACAATCCAAAATGAACCTTTCCACACAGAGCCTGACCACCACACCCTCCCAGCTTGTGAAACGTCCTGTGGATATTTAGTGGGAGGGGGGGATGAGCGTAGTGGGGAAACCCAAGAGAACTGTGCTAGCACATACTTCGCTGGCCTGGCTTTCTCGTCTGCGATACAATAAGAATGATCTTTGGGTTGGATTTGTAGTGTCTGTGGGTTTTCTGTCTCTTTCCCTTCCTTTTCTTCTAAGTCTGAAAACGTTGGCATAGACCTGGTAGCTTTGGATACAAAAGATGAGCAGAGAATTTTTGCCTCTTGAGCTATTCACTCACCTAGGCATCCTGTGACCGTCACCCTCTGGCCTTTCCTGTTCTCTCCAGTTTTATTCCTCTAGATATTTGGTGTTTCATCTGAGGGCTACTTCTGCTTCCTTAAGAATGGAACTTGGATGGTATTTGGGGCTCACCTGTACCATCTGACACGACTGTGGGGGGCAGCAGAAAATGACACAGTTCTGGCCCATGAGACCCAGGTTCAAATTGTGAAGGAGAATACAAAGGCACAGGTTCCCTGGGAGAGCATCTCCTTCCAGCACTGCCTGTTCGTGTGTCTGAATGGTAAATACAAGACCTGTGGGCACTGTAGCCATCTTGTGGTCAGTGAAACCGTGGCAATGGCAAACATGTAGATTGGAAGGGCGAACCCTGGCTGTGGGGCAGGCAGTCCTTATTCTTCTACTTTCTGGCTGTATAACCTCAGGCATGTTTAATTTCTCACAGCTCCCCTCTCCTTCCCACAGTCTATAAAATGAGGACCGAGGCCTCTACCATGTACAGTAGTTTCGAGGATCAAGTGCTGGGAGGCATAGGAATCTTCCTTCTCTACTGTAAAGCTCTCTCCGAATGTTAGACCTGTCTTAAAGCATAAATGAGTTATTGTGACTTTAAGGCAAAATGAAGGAGACCATTTGTTTTTCCTCATACACACAGACCTCAGCTCTGATCTGCAGCCCATCAGCTATGCAAACAGGAAGCAACTATCCAAACATTCGGAGCTGCTAGGGGCAGACCAGGGTCAGTCTCTCCCAACTGTGAGTGCCTCAGAAGTCAAGGATGAGGTCCCTCCTTTGAGGACATAGGTTCAAAGTCACCACTTAAGCTGTCCTCCCCCGACCTGGCTCAGATTACCCTCTCTAGGGAGAACTGATCTCACTGGCTCCTCTAGGCCTCTAGGCTGTCTTCTGTTCTTCGTCCCTCTTCTTTGCTGCCATAGCTGAAACAGGATAGTTGTTTGTTTGTTTGTTTTCTTTCTGACAATACTATCTATCTGCTTGGGCCCTCCCGGCTTGAACCGTTTTCATGGTTTTATGTCCTCTAAGGAGAAGATAAAGGTTATGCTGCTGCCAGGCTCCAGATGCCTGGCCTTTTCTGGCTTCTCCAGCTGTATTTCTCCAGCTATGTTGACTCCTGTTTAGTTTCTGGAATGTGCTATGATAGATAGCCCTGAGGGCTTTGTCCCTATTGTCCCCATTTTCTCAGTGTTTAGTCCCCACTTCTGTGGCAGAGGACAGGCCAAGCCTGTACCAGGGACATACATGTCCCACCTGCTGCCTCACATCTGTTCCTGTGGAGGTCTCATACTCCCTGATTGCAGCTCAGGACAGGGATTTCAGTCTGTCCTGCTAACAGTCACACCCCTCACCAGGTAGACAATGGCCCAGGGAAGGTCTCAGCTGCTGTGCAGGTTCAAAAGGAGAACCTGCTTTGCCATGTGAAAAAATGAGCATCCAGGATAGCCAGGCAGAGTCTCACAGTCCTCCTACTCTGCAAAGACTTCAGTCTGCTCCACCCAAGAGCAACAGACTGGAGGGAAGCTGGTGACTTGCCAGAGTGATACATCTGTCAACAGCCTTGCCAGAATCAGTGCCTCAGTCCCAAGTTTAGTTTCCTGCCGGTCCAGCTAGAACAAAAGGTCGCTCTAAACCTGTTTCCTTATCTGAAGAATGGGGTCATAACAGGACCTTCTTCACTTGGCTGTCCTAAGGAATAACTGAAGCAAGACCATAAAGTGCTTTGTTCAGGGCCTGTACACAGTGAACAGTAGGTGACAACCAGGATCAAACTGAAGAGCTAAGAATGAGTCTTACTGATTACAATTCACGAGTAACAAAAAGATTTCGTGGATGAACGGAAGGGTGAACGGATGGATAGATAGAGGGATGGACCAATGAATGGCAATGGAGTCCACAATGACTTAAGAAATGGAAGAACCACGCACCAATACTGAAGACAGGAATGAACACTAGAGCGCCCGGGATTGTACGCCCAGGTTTAGCACTCGGAGTTGCTGCTCCTCTCACCTGTAACGTCTAAGTTCAGCTTCCAGTCGCTGCACTTGACGCTGCATGTGGGGAAAGCGCCGCGCAAGCGCCTCCAGCTCCCGTACTCGGTGCAAGCTGCGCCGCACCGCCTGCCTGGCCTCCTCTGTGCGCAGCCGCACCTCCACCTGTCCGCGTTGCAGCCGCCTGGCGCGCGCTTCTGCCTCTACCAGCGCGCCCTGCGCTCGCTGCAGCTTGTTCGCTGCCGTTTCTGGGATGTCCGACTGGCTCTTCCAGAGGCCTACCTGCAAGAGGGAAGCAAGAGTGAGTGACCACTTCCGGATCCTACGGAGATCTCCCCTTACGCCACAAAGCTTGCTCAGTAATGCAAGTGTGCATTACTCCCCCCCCCCCCAAAGCTGATACAGGAAATCCACAGTCTGTTACCCCACAGTCTGTTACCCACAGTTTGTTACCCCAAAGTCGTGACTTCTCGACCTAACTCCTGAACCCAATATATGCAGCTACTATTTCTCTGGACTCAAGGCACAGCTTAAACACCATACTGGTGTTTCCACCCTTCCTGAGATCTGTGCACTATACCCATCCTTGGATATGGAGATGGTCTCTTTTGTTACTGCAGTGTTCCAAAGCAATGTGCCCAGTAGACACTTGAGCACCAAAGAAGGACAGACCCTTTTAGTCAGTCTCAGGCACTCTACACATGACTCTGCCCCGTCTAACACTTCCATGCCACACATAGGAACCATGGGGGCCATCTTGCAATCTGCATTTAGGGTGCAGAAGGCACTAATATAGCACCAGTTTTGTTTTGTTTTGTTTTTAAGGTCCTCTTCCCATAAGGGACTTTCTGCCCCCTCCCCCCTTAGGCCAGCCACCTTCGCTGCACTCCACACTAAGCTGTGCACAGGGCTCAAGTGTTGGTTGATTGATCCCAGAGGCCAGACTAACTCTGCTGTTTGCTCAATGGCTCCACTTCAGTAGCTCAGAGTGGGCCTGGCCCTCAATGCTAATGCATCTTTTCTCACTTGTACCCTGGTGCTGAAGGATTCCATAGCTGTCACTGACTTGGGGAAGGGAAGTACTCTTCTCTGTTTTCCCTAAACCTCCCCGAAGAAGAATGCTTGCTGACCTGTCATTACGAGACTGCCTAGACAGGCTCCTTCTTGTGTTAGAAAGGACAGGGGTGTGAAGGTGGAGTTTTAAGGAACGATAAATTGGGGTGCAAGTTGGAATGAAGGGAGTGGAGTGGGGAACGGAGAGGGCCAGCTGAGGAGAGGGGTGGGGCCAAGGTGGGGTGACCCTGACTCCATCCCTCGACGTCCCGCGCACCTGCAGGGCCAGGCAGCGCGCGTCACTACTCTGCAGCGCAGCACGCAGGTCCTCCACCAGCTCGCGTAGGCTGCTGTTTTCCTCTTCTAGATGTGCCACACGTTCTCCATTGGCGTTGCGGTGCAGGCTCGGTGAGCCAGGCCGCCGCCGGCGGCGGCGCGGGCGGCGGAGGCGGATCTGCGTCTCGATGTGCTCGCTGAGAGCTCCTCGGGGCAGTCGGGGTCCCGCACGGGTACTGAAGTAGCCGCAGAGGCGTGCGTGGAACTGGCGGAAAGTGAGTTCGGGAGGGTCGGCGCGCAGAGCCAGGCGCACCTCTTCCCTGACGTCCGCGTCCTCGCCAGCGACTATTCCAGCAGCCTGGTTCTTAGCGACCGCCTCTGCGGAATTTGCGTCTTCGGTGGTTGCCTCCCCATCGGCGTTCAGCCCTAGTACCGCACATAGCGCGCGAAAGTCGGCGCGCGGCAAGCGGCCAGCGCCCCGGCAGTCCAGATGGTGGAAGACCTCTTGCAGATACTGGTCCAGACCGGTAGCCAGCACCACGATCTCGTTCTCCACGCCGCGGTCTAGCCCGTAGTGGTGAGCCAAGGCGCTTAGCAGCCACTGTGTCCGCCGCGCGGGTCGCCGGTACGGGTCGCCCGCTTCGCCCTCCATGCCCAGACACAGACGACTCCTCTTGGCCCAACGGCGCCTTTAGACAGTCTCCCGCGTCCGCGGAGGGAGGGGCCGGGCGGCCACCGCCAAGCCGGAGAGGCGCCGGACCCTGTCCAGACAGCTGCGTGGGCCGTGCAGGGCATTTGTGTTTGTCCCGGTGGGGGGCGCTGGAGCAGTGGGCTTTCACTCTGCCTCTGTAATGGCCTTGATCTGAGATCCCCATCGCTCCCCATTCTCATCCCCATCGCTGTAATGAGTCCTTGGAGCAGTTCTTTTGCTCTACCCAGGCCTTTTCAGCTCCAGCCGCCAGAGGCAGGAATGCTTCTGTCCTCAGTAGTGGTGCTTTTCCCAGTCCTTGTCCCCGCAACCTGCCTGGCGTCCTCTGCCCCTGATGGTGGAGAGGCCTGGTCTCCAGACTGTTTCCTCAACCGCCCTCCCCCACCTAACTAGGGCAGAGGAGGAAACAGACTTGGAAGTATACCAAGTAAGGGTTTTGGAGAGAGCAAAGTGGTTGTCTGTTACCGTCACCCTCGGACTCCAGGAGACTTGGCGCGAAACCTGAGTTCCTTCTTGCAGGCTGGGATGAGGCAAAGGGTTGTTTGGCTACCATTTTCTCTGGGTTCAATTCTCAGCACCCATAAGGATGCTCACAACTATCTTTAACTTCAATTCCAGAGCATCCAATGCTCTGTTCTGGCCACCATGAGCATTGCTTGCATATGACACACAGAAATGCACAAAACACCCACACATATAAGATTTAAAAGGTGAAAAATTAAAGGTGGTTTTCCATGGATGGTTTTTTTTGAGACATATTAATATATTTGTGTTGTAACATCTACTGGCACTCTAATTCTTTTTAGTTCTGAGTGATACTCCATTGAGTGAATAGACCACATTTTGCATTAGTCATTCATCAATTAACAGGTGTTAGGATTTGACCATTGTGAGGAATCCTGCTATGGATTTTTTGTTTTGGTATGAGTTCATATAATTTACTCTCTTTGGGGCATATACTAAAGAGTGGGTTGGTTGCTGTCCTGATTTATTTTTGTCAAATTGACAAAGCTGGGATCATCTAGGAAGAGGGAATGTTGACTGAGGAACTGTCTCCATCAGATTGGACTATGGACAAGACTGTGGGGGACATTCCTCTGGATCAATGGTTGATATGAGAGGGCCCATCCCACTGTTATTGGTACCACAGGTGTTGCTGTGCTATTTAAGAAAGCAGACTGAGCAAGCCATGTAGAACAAGCCTGTAGCACCATTTCTCCATGACTTTTGCTTCTGTTTCTGCCTTGACCTCCCTCAAGAGTTCAGTGTCATCTGTGAGGCAAAGAAACTCTTTCTTCCCCAAGTTGCTTTGGTCTTATTATGTATCACAGCATTAGGCAGCAAACCAGGACAGTTGGATCCTGTGGCAGTTTGAGATCTTCTTGAAGAATGGCCCGACACTTTTCCAAAGAAGCCTCCCTGTTTTCACTGACACTGACAGCACTCCATGTGATTTCCAGTGTGCTGAGTGACTCAGAGAATATCAGCCCTCGTGCCCTCTGCAACAGTTCCTGGCTCCCCATCACTGTAGCAGGTACCTGAGGCCATTAGACAGGTACCTCTCTTTCAGGAGGAGAGGTTCACTCTGCTTCAGTTTGCTTTGTGGCTGTGGTAGTGCACATGCATGCATGGCAGAGTTAACATGCCAAACACTTCATGGGTGTGGGAAAAAAGGAGAAGATGGCATATAGAGCTGTACTCCTCAAGGACACAACCCAAGTGGCATGCTACTGGCCTCATCTCTTGAACTTTTACCACCTCCAAATAATAGCACCCCAGGGACCAAGGTTTTCACACATAGACCTTTGGAAGACATTGCAGATCTGAATCATAACAAGGCTTCCCCAACTCAAGCCCTAAATTGTGGGAGGGGCACTGCCTGATCTGTTCACTAGAAGAAACAAAGTTGTGGCTCCTGTTTTAGCTGCCTCCCCATGGTTGCCACAGCAAATGGCATCCTGTGATGTTGCTCACAGATGATGTCTTTTATTGGTGTATGAGTTTTTAAGCAACCCTTATATCATATCATCTTTGAGTCTCATAGGTGGCCTGAGTCACACAGGGCTGGACACTTGGTGCTCCAGTGATCTTCACAAAGTGGTACTTGATTGTTTTGCTTTGCAGGAGCATACTTTTGTGAATATGAACTCCTAGATTCAGCAGGGAAAACTAACTCTAGCAGGCAGCAGTGGGGTTTGAATGCTTTCTAGTCCTGTGATGTTGGAGCCCCTATGGCTTCAGATGTTGGAAGTGGAAGGCACATCCTGCTGGGCCATGAAGTACTGGGCCTGGAGCTTAATGTGGGCATTTAAAGCAAGTGTCTGGGATGTGTGGAGTCCTATCTTTGCAGATAGCCTGGTTATAGTTCATGTCAGTTTTGAAGGTGATAGCTCACCAGTACCAGTCCCATGCTGGTAACTGCTTTGTTGAAGGACTCCTTCAAACTGTAGCTTTCCTGGGCCAGTCAGTATTGAAAACAAAGCTTTTCAGTATCTTCTCCTGGAGCTGCTGCTCAGCCTCCCGCAGCTTGAGGGAGGGATTTGTTATAATGGCGTGCTGTTCGGCCTGTCTATCTGTGGGCTGTGTTACTAGGCGCCCCTGAAACAATCCCGCTTGGATCCAGAAGGCTTTTGTTGGAGGTTCAAAGTATGAAAACTCTGAAGATTTGTGGTTCCTTTGTATGTGTTGGGGGTGGGGTGGGTTGTCTGTGGGGGGAGAGTTGAAATCCTGGCAAAGAAGTTACTTTTGAAGTCACTTCAGTATTGTTTGAGCTGTTTCCAATAGTGTACTGTTCAAAGTGTCATTACAAAGTCTAGAAATACATACAGAAAGAAAAGTCACCAAGATCCTGCCACCACCTAACCCACAGTGTATTTGTGATGTATTTATTCCAGATTAGTCCTTGGATTGTGTCATGAAAAAAATTTTTGAGGGGGGTTGATAAAACTGCTTTGTGGTGGGGCTCACAACATATCTGTCAGGACACTTTGAAAGGGTAACATTAGCATTTTGTAAATTAAGAGGAGAGCAGTTTGCTCATGAATCTGTGCTGTAAGGAGGGCTTGGTGGAGGCTTTTCCCATTCTAGTGGTAGTCAGTATGCTTGTAGCCCTGGGAGCTGACAATGGCAATTGGGTGGGAGGTGGCAGAACAGCTCTGTGCAGTCCTTGTGTGGCCATCTGTACTTGCTTTATTTATAGATGAGGTCACAGACAAGACTGCAACAGGTTTGTAGAAGTTGACTTCAGAAGTCACATGCTTCACAGGAAGTATTGCTTCCTGAGAACTTTATTGGCTGAGATGGGTCATATGTTTGTCTGACCACTGGATTCAGGGAGTATTGACCATACAAAGAAGATGAACATATGAGAGGATGTCTGAGAGGTGGCATACCTTCAGAAAACACAGTGCCACTGGTCCTTAAGCCCTATTCCTGGAGAATTATCCCTGAAGGCCTGGAGTGAAACCTTAGAATATTATTAATATATTATTATTTACCAGTTGGTTCAATTGTTGTAAGGACATATGGATTCTTGGAAATATGAGTCATTTAGTCCTTTGCACCAGTAGCATATAATTTGTTTGTGCACTGCACTGGCTGGTTTTATATGTCAACTTGATACAAGTTAGAGTCATCAGAGAGGAAGGAGCCTCAGTTGAGGAAATGCCTCTGTAAGATCCAGCTATAAGGCATTTTCTCAATTAGTGATCAATGGGAGAGGGCCCAGCCCATGGTGGGTAGTGCCATTCTTGTGCTGGTGGTCCTGGGTTCTATAAGAAAGCAGAACCCGCAAGCAGTTCTCCTCTGTGACTTCTGCATTAGCTCCTGGTTCCTGCCTCCAAGATCCTGCCCTGTTTGAGTTCCTATCCAGACTTACTTCAGTGATAAACAGCAATGTTGATGTGTAAGCCAAATAAACCCTTTCTTCCTCCACTTACTTTTTGGTTATGATGTTTTGTTGCGGCAATAGAAATCCCAACTAGACATGCACTTAATTTAAAAAAAAAATCAGTTTAAATTAAATACGAAATGTGGTAGGTGGAACCCAGGAACTGGGACCTCATGTCCGCTCCTGATGGGTGGTGCTGTTGAGCTGCCCTTGCTGGGCGATGGTGTGATGGCTTTAGCACCTGCTGTACCTTAGTAGCTTTTTGTTCTTTCAGTTCTGTGTGTATTTTCAGTGCATCTTGGTTCACAGAATACAATCTACAGGATGCTGGAGGTATGGGCGGTCGAATAGGTTTTCTTTTCTTTTTCTTTTTTTTTTCTTTATTTTATATAACCAAGGCCATTTAAATGAAAACAAACATTTATAGACAATATTTGGGAATTTGGGCATCGTTCTTTCCAAACTACTTCCTGCTGGTAAGGGGCACTGTCATGGGGGATTCTAAGATGATGAAGAAATCCTGGCTGTAGTCTGTAAGGCTGCTTTGTCCAGCTGTTTTGAATGTAGGATCACCTTGTACTCTGTTTCAGGCAGTCTGGCTTGATCAAACCACATTAGTGTGGAAGGAATCCACGGCTTTTCATTTTCTGTGGAAACAAAAATAGAAATCCTTTTCCTTAGTAACTTGTCCTTGAACTTAAATTTTGGAGTCAAAGCATTTTTTTAATTTAATTTATTATTTTACATGTCGATCCCAGTTCCCCCTCCCTCCCTCCCTTTTACCCTCTCTGCCCTCTCACATGCACCCTAACCACCCTCCCCTCCCATCCCCCCACCCCAATTCCATATGTAGGGGAATGCCATCCACTTGGGGTCATGTAGATCTGACAGGTCATGTGAAGTAGGGACTAGGGCTTCTCTCCTGTCTCTAGGTTAAGGCAGTTATCCCTCCATGGGGGATGTGTTAGCAAGGTCCTTTTGTGCACCAGGGATACATCCTGGCTCCACTGTCTGAGGTCCCTTAGACTGCTCAGTCCTTCTGGCTGAGACCCATATTCAGGGGGGCCTGAGTCAGTTCCATGCTGGCTTCCCAGCTATCAGTCTGGGGGCCCATTAGCTCCACCTTGTTCAGGTAAGCTGTCTCTATGTGTTTCTGCTGCCTGGTCTTGTCCTCTCCATCTGCATCTGGG